CAGCCTTTGTATACACAGACAATGCCATGGCTGAGGAAGAATTTCTAAGATCAATCCCATTCACAATAGCTACAAAAACAATCAAATACCTTGGAATAAACTTAACCAAGGACGTTAAAGATCTCTACGATGAAAATTACAAAACCTTAAAGAAAGAAATAGAAGAGGATACCAAGAAATGGAAAAATCTTCCATGCTCATGGATTGGAAGAATCAATATCATCAAAATGTCCATTCTCCCAAAAGCAATTTATAGATTCAATGCAATCCCAATCAACATACTGAAGACCTTCTTCTCAGATCTGGAAAAAATGGTGCTGAAATTTATATGGAGACACAGGAGACCTGGAATAGCTAAAGCAATCTTGTACAACAAAAACAAAGCCGGAGGCATCACAATACCAGATTTCAGGACATACTACAGGGCAGTTGTTATCAAAACAGCATGGTACTGGTACAGAAACAGACAGATAGACCAATGGAACAGAATAGAAAACCAGAAATCAACCCAAACATCTACAGCCAACTCATATTTGATCAATCCAAAACCAATCCCTGGAGTAAGGAGAGTCTATTCAATAAATGGTGCTGGGAAAATTGGATTTCCATGTGCAGAATCATGAAGCAAGACTCCTACCTTTCACCTTACACAAAAATTCACTCAACATGGATTAAAGACTTAAATCTATGACCCGACACCATCAAATTATTAGAGAGCATTGGAGAAACCCTGCAACATATAGGCACCGGCAAAGACTTCTTTGAAAAGACCCCAGAATACACAGTCAACACCAAAATTAACATTTGGGATTGCATCAAATTGAGAAGTTTCTGTACTGCAAAAGAAACAGGAAAGTGAAGAGACAACCGACAGAATGGGAAAACATATTTGCAAACTATGCAACAGATAAAGGGATGATAACCAGAGTGTACAAAGAGATCAAGAAACTCCACAACATCAAAATAAACAACCCACTTAAGAGATGGGCCAAGGACCTCAAGAGACAGTTTTCAAAAGAGGAAATCCAAATGGCCAACAGGCACATGAAAATATATTCAGGATCACTAGCCATCAGGGAAATGCAAATCAAAACCACAATGAGGTTTCACCTCACCCCGGTGAGAATGGCTCACATACAGAAATCTACCAACAACAGATGCTGGAGAGGATGTGGATAAAAGGGACACTAACCCACTGTTGGTGGCAATGCAAACTGGTTAAGCCACTATGGAAGTCAGTCTGGAGATTCCTCAGAAACCTGAAGATAACCCTACCATACAACCCAGCCATCCCACTCCTTGGAATTTACCAAAGGAAATTAAATTGGCAAACAAAAAAGCTGTCTACACATTAATGTTTATTGTAGCTCAATTCACAATAGCTAAGACCTGGAAGCAACCCAAATGCCCATCAACTCTAGAGAATAATATACAGCAGTCAAAAAAAAATGAAATCCGGTCATTTGCAACACGATGAAGGAATCTGGAAAACATCATGCTGAGTGAATTAAGCCAGTCCCAAAGGGACAAATATCATATGTTCTCCCTGATCAGCAACTAACTGAGCAACAAAGGGAAACCTGTTGAAGTGAAATGGGCACTATGAGAAACAGTGACCATTGGTTGAACTCTGTGATTCACACAATTATTCTTAGGTGTTTAAATTTTAACTGAAAAGTGATCCCTGGTAAATATAAGAGCAGGAATAAGAGAGGGAGGAGATGTTTAATTTGGGACATGCTCAATCGGACTTGCCCCAAATGGTGGAGTTAGAAACGTGCCAGGGGATTCCAATTCAATCCCATCAAGGTGGCATGTACCAATGCCATCTCACTAGTCCAAGTGATCAATTTCTGTTCACAATTGATCACACTGATAGGTCTAAGAGTCAAAGGCATCACACAAACAAGACTAGTGTCTGCTAATACTAACTGATAGAATCAAAAAGGGAGAGAATAATCCAACATGGGAAGCAGGATATGCAGCAGACTCATAGAATGGCAGATGTCCTAAATAGCACTCTGGCCTCAGAATCAGCCCTTATGGTATTCGGATATGGCTGGAGAGTCCATGAGAGTATTTCAGGCATGGAAATCCAAGACACTCTGGGAAAAAAAAAGAAGACCTAAATGAAAGATCTCTGTGAGTGAGATCCCAGTGGAAAGAACGGGGCCATCAAAGAAGGAGGTACCTTTCTCTGAAGGGAGGAGAGAACTTCCACTTTGACTATGACCCTGTCAGAATAAGATCAAAGTCAGCGAACTCAAAAGGCTTCCATAGCCTTGCGAACTCATGACTAGAGCCTAGGGATATTACTGACGCCATAAAGAAGAGTGTCAAATTGTTAAGTCAACAACAGGAGTCACTGTGTACTTACTCCTCATGTATTATCTGTCCTTAATGTGTTGTCCAATATGAAGTAATGCTATAACTAGTACTGAAACAGTATTTTATACTTTGTGTTTCTGTGTGGGTACAAACTGATGAAATCTTTACTTAATATATACTAAATCGATCTTCTGTATATAAAGAGAATTGAAAATGAATCTTGATGTGAATGGAATGGGAGAGGGAATGGGAAATGGGAGGGGTGCGAGTGGGAGGGAAATTATGGGGGGAAAGCCATTATAATCAATAAATTGTACTTTGGAAATTTATATTTACTAAATTAAAAAAAATTGTAAAAAAAAAGATACAGACAATTTGTTTAAGGAACAAAAAATATGAGGTATTTTTGGAACTACAATTTAGAAACTAGAAATAATACATTCCCAGACAAAATAGATAGATAACTTCATTTTATACATAAGCTTTTATAAACAGAATGTCACAACAGATCAGATAGTAGATAAAGAGAGAAAGTAGACAATCAGGACATGAATCTCTATATTTATGAAACTGAACTTCTTTCACCAAAGCCAGACACTCTACCTATAATAAGGCTACCAAATATTTTAAATTTTATTTTGTTACAAGACAGAGAGAAAGAGATTGAGAGAGAAAGAGAAAGCGAGAAGCTAGAGAAAGACAGAGAGAGGGAGAGAGAGAGAGAGAGAGAGAGAGAGAGACTGACTTCCTCTGCTGGTTCACTCCCCCAAAATGCCTACAATATCCAGGACTGGACCAACATAAAGCAAGACCTGGATCTGGGAACTCAATGCAGATCTCCCACATGGGTGGCAGAAACCCAAATATTTGAAATACTACCTAATGCCTCCCATATCATGCATTACTTGTAAACTGGAATTTGGAGCAGACCTGGGACATGTCAGCATCCCAAATAGTGTCTTCTGTACCAAATGCTTATCCTAATCAATTATATTCTTTTTATTTAAAGATTGATTGATTGATTGCTTGATTTGAACGGCAGAGACAGAGGTTTTCCATCCTGATTCACTCCAAATGAATGCAACAACTAGAGTTGAGCCAATCTGAAGCCACGAATCATGAGCTTCTTCCAGGTCTCCCATGCGGGTGCAGAAGTCCAAGGACTTGGGCCATCTTCTTCTTCTTTTCCAGGCCATAGAAGAGAGCTGGATCGGAAGTGGAGCAGCTGAGACTTGAACCAGCGCCCATATAAGATGTTGGCACCGAAGGCAGCAGCTTTACCTGCTATGCCACAGTGCCAGCCCCTATAATATTCTTAAACCTTTCCATTTCTTGCTGTAATTCTTAATTTGGATATACTTTTGATGTTTTGCTGCTATGTGAGGAAAATAAGTTACCAAGAAGAAGTAATCCAGTTTGTTGCACTGACATTAAGCGTCCCTGTTCTTTTATCCTATGACCATGAAGAATATGAAGTTCAAAATAGGTATAAAGTTAACATTTTTCCCCAAGGTTTCCCTGTTTTTATAACTATTGGACACTGTCATTAACATATCATTGCTTTTGAATGTAATCTGTATTGTTTTTATTTCCTTTTAAGTGTTTGGAACAACAGAAATTTGTGCCTTTTTATTCGAATGTTGTTCTTCATTGCTTTGGTTGAGTAAGTGCCCAAACCAAAGAGACTTCTAGACCACTAGAGAGGCATATGTTTGATGTCTAAATTCTAATTACTGGCATTTTGGTTTTTATATTTTGTCACTGACATATCAACTACTGGTCTTCTGTCATTTCAACTGAAACTATTTCTGGGTCCCTTATTTTTTAATTCTCTGTATCATAACAACTCTCACTTGCATTAAAAACATGTTTAGTGTGGCTAACATTGTGGTATAGTGGATTACACTGCTACCTGCAACTCTGGCACACCATGTGGGTTCCATTTCTAGTCTTAGCTGCTCTACTTCCAATATAGCTCTCTGCTAATGTGCCTGGGAAAGCAGTGGAAGTTGGCCCAAGTACTTGTGTCCCTACGCCCACTTTGGAGATTCAGATGAAGCTCCTGACTCCTGGATTTGATCTGGCCCACCCCTGGCCATTGCAACCATTTGGAAAGTGAACCAGCAAATTGAGACTCACTCTCTCTCTCTCTCTTTCTCTCTCTCTCTCTCCAAACTCTGCATTTCTAATAAATAAACCTATCATTATTTAAAAACATGTTTACTGACTAATTTACTATGAATTTGATATTCTATTCTCTCTTAAATGAAGCTTAGAGCATGACTGGTTGGAGCATAATGGAGACCAAGAGCACACAGGGGATAGAAAGACATTTATAAAACTAGGTTCATTTTTTCATTCATGAAATGCCTGGACTACAACAGAGATGAACACTACAAATGCATCTTTATGCTTACAATCAAGTGTATCACTTATCAAAGTAGGTTTATCCTATCAAAAAACATGTTCATCTCTGGTTCTTAAAACTTACTAGAAACTCTATGGATAGTTTCAGCGTTGTAACAATTTAAAATGTTTTCAATTAAATATTAAATTATGACCTGTTGGTTATAATTGGCTATTCTGAAACATATTTCACTTGATGCATGCTATGTTATCAAAGCAAACAAACCAATATTAAACCAGAAATGTCAATTTAAATTTTGACACACCTGTGGCTGGTTATTTTCACTTCTGTAATCTTCCTTGGATATTCTTTCTTTGCTGTAATGTGATGAAGAACTGACACGTTCTAATTCAGGTGTCATGCTTTGATAACTATTAGTACTGAAATCACCATACAATGGCTTCTTTGGCATGTCCTGTATTGGTTTTCTTTCCTTATAACTCCCTGGAAGAGCAGAAACAGTGTCTCATTATTTGAATCACATACTTCATTCTTTGGTGTGGGAAAGCTCCAAATTTGAAAAATTTCTGGGCCACTATAGTAAGGCACATGTCCAGTGTTTAATCCAGATAGTTCTATTTTGGCTGATTTTTGCCATTTGCTTTGGCTAATCTAGTCCCCATAACAGATCTATATATTTAGTTAAATATACTACATAGTATAGTTAAATAAAAGATACTGTTGAAATCTTTACTTAATGCATACTAAACTGATCCTCTGTTAAAAAAAAAAAAGAAATTATCAACTCCCAACTTGACTCTCACTGGGATTAAACATGACAATAGGTCTGATCTGATTTCATCATCATTTAAAAAAAATCATCTATTATTTTTCACTTTATGTTTCTGTGTGGGAGCAAACTGTTGAAATCCTTACTTAATGTATACTAAGCTGATCTTCTGTATATTAAGATAATCGAAAATGAATGAATGTGAATGAAAGGGGAGAGGGAGTGGGAAAGGGGAGGGTTGTGGGTGGGAGGGACGGTATGGGGGGGAAGCCATTGTCATCCATAAATCGTACTTTGGAAATTTATATTCATTAAATAAAAGTTAAAAAAACAATATTTATAAAAATAGAAATAACATTTTTATTTTATCAACTGAAAGATTAGCTTAATCTTGTATTTAGTTGACTACTTCTTTAAGACATACTCTAATTGTTCAAAATGGGAAACAACTACTTAAGGAGTAGTAAATATCACCAGGTTCAAAGCATACAAATGTCAAACATATCCAGACACAGTTTCATCCACTCAACATGAATGAATAAAACTGTCAGAAACCAAATTAAAATATTCAAAATGTGCAGGAGAAAAATCAAAGTCCCACTGAACACTGTTTGCAACCTCATAAGAATATATTTTTAATAACATGATAACCAGGTAGTTCATTGTTGATTTCCACAATCATTCTTAACTTATTACACCTTTATCAGTGTATAAACTGTTAGCTTCTACTGGACATGTTTTCATCGACAGCTCTAAGAAATTTCCTTTTTTCTGTTAAGACTCACCTTGCTATATGAAGTCTCCCTTGATTATGTGCATTTTCCCCAAGGAAACAATCATTTCTTTCCTTGGGTCTACCTACTGTATTGATTTTAATACTGAGTTTTTTACCATCTAAACTATAAATTGTTTCATTATATATCTACTCCACTGGATATCAGACTAAAGGAGACAATATTTTAAATCATATTAATATGAAATCTTCCTTATTTTACTCAATAATTACTTATTAAGTTCCTGTTACACGCTAAACATTGGGAATTAAATAAGGTACATAAATGTGGCAATGATGGATTTTCTAGATATAGTGCATAGCTGAGATATAAAGCCTGAAGTTGGGCTGACTGAAATGTGTAGAGGGTAGGAAAAGGTGACAATGTGCAAGGCAGTAGCAAGAGAGGGAGAGAAGCAGCAAATAAAGGATACAAATTCTTAGAAAATAGCAAGTAGTGAGGGGAACAGCACTAAGCAATTCAGTAATGTCGAAGCAAAGGCATAGAAAAGGAATGAAATGTAGAGTTAGGAAGAAGATAAATTTTGAAATCCTTACATTAGGGATGCTTGAACACTAATGTGTTGAAGAGTGGCTCATGGTAATATTGTCATTGGAGAAAGATCACTCTAAATGCTGTGGGAAGGATGAACTTGATGAGCATTTGGGTAAATGCAGGGACAAAAATGAAAAAGGCAAGCATGAGAATATTTTAGGCATGGAAAGCCAAGACACTCTGGGGGGAAAAAAAACTAAATGAAACATCTCTGCAAGTGAGATCCCAGTGGAAAGAACAGGTCATCAAAGAAGGAGATACCTTTCTCTGAAGGGAGGAGAGAACTTCCACTTTGACCATGACCTTGTCTAAATAAGATCGGAGTCAGTGAACTCAAAAGGCTTCCATAGCCTTGGTAACGCATGACAAGAGCCTAGGGTGATTACTGATGCCATAAACAAGAGTGTCAATTTGTTAAGTCAACAACAGGAGTCACTGTGTACTTACTCCTCATGTAGGATCTCTGTCCTTAATGTGCTGTACATTATGATTAAATGCTATAACTAGTACTCAAATAGTACTTTACACTTTGTGTTGCTTTGTGGGTGCAAACTGTTGAAATCTTTACTTAATATATACTAAATTGATCTTCTGTATATAAAGAGAATTGAAAATGAATTTTGATGCGAATGGAATAGGAGAGGGAGTGGAAGAGGGGAGGGTTGCAGGTGGGAGGGAAGTTATGGGGGGAAAAGCCATTGTAATCCATAAACTGTACTTTGGAAATTTATGTTTATTAAATAAAAGTTAAAAAAAGGCAAGCATACAAAATATGTATGAAGCAGACCTCAACTAGGGAATTTTCCCAGAAATACTTAGGAAACAAGGTGAAAGCATTTGGCATGGAATGAATTTTAAAGTTTCATTGATTTTATTATAAAAACAAAGTAGAGGAAAGATAGTCATAGAGAGAAATTTTCTACTTCTAGTTCACTCCCAAAATGCCCACAACAGCCAGGGCAAGGCCACGTTGAGGAAAGGGGCTAAATTTCATCTGGATCTCTCATTTGCATGGCTGGGATCCGATTATGTGAGCTATCACCTGCTGCCTCCCAGGGAGCATATTAGCAGGAAGCTGTATAAGAAAGAGTAGGGACTCAAACCCAGCACTCCTCTAGGGATATAGGCACACAAGAGAGAGTCAAATTACCTTCTAAAACACAATGCCTACACCTACAATAATTTTTTATTAAATTTATTAGTAATTATTATTTATTAAATATTTTTTGTGAAAAGAATAAATGTACACAACTGGATCCCTAGTAAACTACACTCTGTTAATTACTTTATAAAAGGTACACATTGATAAAGACCCTACATGAACTGTTTAGTTTGTGTTCATTTCATAGTTTTTCTGTTTAATATACTGCTGTGTTAAGGGAACTCATTTAGGTGTTCTGTTTGACAAGTACAGCTTAACTGGATCTACCAAGGTCATGAATAAATAAGAGCAAACACATCACTTGGATAGATCAGTAATTCTGAGTTTGTGACTTATTGCCAACACTCTGGAGAAAACTGATAAACTCTGTGAAATACAATGTCAATTCTATAAGTAAGAAAGAAAAGGAAACTACAGGGGTAAAACAATATATGATTTATTTATATATGTTCTATACAGTAGAACATACCCAAGTGGCCAGCATCCCATATGGGCACCAGTTGGAGTCCCAGCTGCTCCCTTCCAATCCAGCTCCCTGCTAATGGGCCTGGGAAAGCAGCAGAGGATGGCCCAGTCGCTTGAAACCCCCGCCACCCACCACCCACGTGGGAGACTAAGAAGAAGCTCCTGGCACCTTACTTTAAAACAGTCTAATTCAGCCCTAGTGGCCATTTTGGGGAGTAAACCAGTGGATAGAAGATCTCTGTCTTTCCTTCTCTCTCCTTCTCTCTCTGAAATTCTGCCTTTTATATAAATAATTAAATCTTTTTTAACTTTTACTTAATGAATATAAGTTTCCAAAGTATAGCTTATGGATTACAATGGCTTTTCCTCCCATAACTTCCCTCCCACCTGCAAACCTCCCCTCTTCCGCTCCCTCTCCTATTCCATTCGCATCAAGATTCATTTTCAATTCTATTTACAAAAGATCAATTTAGCATACATTAAGTAAAGATTTCAACAGTTTGCACCCCCATAGAAACACAAAGTGAAAAATACTATTTGAGTACTAGTTATAGCATTAATTCACATTGAACAACACATTAAGGACAGAGATACCACATGAGGAGTAAGTGCACAGTGACTCCTGTTGTGGACTTTACAAATTGACACTCTTGTTCATGGCATCAGTAATCACCCTAGGCTCTTGTCATGAGTTGCCAACTATGAAGGCCTTTTAAGTTTGCCGACTCTGATCATATTTAGACAAGGTCATGGTCAAAGTGGGAGTTCTCTCCTGCTTTCAGAGAAAGGTACCTCCTTCTTTGAAGACCTGTTCTTTCCACTGGGATCTCACTTGCAAAGATCTTTCATTTAGGTCATTTTTTTTTGCCACAGTGTCTTGGCTTTCCATGCCTGAAATACTCTCATGGACTCTCCAGCCAGAGCCCTAAAGGGTTGATTCTGAGGCCAGAGTGCTGTTTAGGACATCTGCCATTCTATCAGTCGGCTGTGTATTCCACTTCCCATCTAGATCATTCTCTCCCTTTTTGATTCTATCAGTATTTGCAGACACTAGTCTTTTTATTTGATCACTTTGACTCTTAGTCTTATCATTATGATCAATTGTGAACAGAAAGTGATCACTTGGACTAGTGAAATGGCATTGGTACATGCCACCTTGATGGGATTGAATTGGAATCCCCTGGCGTTTCTAACTCTACCATTTGGGGCAAGTCCGATTGAGCATGTCCCAAAATAAACATCTCCTCCATCTCTTATTCCCACTCTTATGTTTCACAGGGATCACTTTCCAGTTAAATTTAAACACCTAAGAATAATTGTGTGTTAATTACAGAGTTCAACCAATAGTATAAAGATAACAAAAACTACTAAGAGGGATAAAGTATTAAGTTGTTCATCAACAGTCAGGTCAAAGGCTGATCAAGTCATGATTTCTCATAGTGTCCATTTCACTTTAATAGGTTTCCTTTTTGGTGCTCAGTTAGTTGTCACCAATCAGGGAGAACATATGATATTTGTCCCTTTGGGACTGGCTTATTTCACTTAGCACGATGTTTTCCAGATTCCTCCATTTTGTTGCAAATGACCGGATTTCATTGTTTTTGACTGCTGTATAGTATTCTATAGAGTACATGTCCCATAATTTCTTTATCCAGTCTACTGTTGATGGGCATTTGGGTTGATTCCAGGTCTTAGCTATTGTGAATTGAAGTGCAAAAAACATTAATGTGCAGACAGCTTTTTTGTTTGCCAATCTAAT